GCATATAATCATGTATATAATATCATATATCTTATGTTTCATGCTCTTATGTCTATGCATATCATATAACATATATAATAACCTATACCCATTTCATGTATTCATGCATATATAAGAATAACAAATCAATTAACATTTTAAGAGTCACTTTTTACCATAGTAACTCCATCACTAGCTCATCGCAAGCCAATGTTCAATAATATAAGTACAATTAAAATTGCACTCACCTTAGCCTTGCTTTGATTCGATTATAATCCTTTGATTATTTTGAAACTTCTATAGGCTCAATATCTACATAAATATAACATTTCAAAACAACTATCAGAAGCCTAAACCTTAAATTTGATGTTAACAACTTAAGCCAGATTATTGAACCCAATTTCATTTTTCCTTTAGGGGGAATCGATACCCCCCAGGGGGGAATCGATACCCCCTGGACATACTGGAAATTTTCTCGTTCTAGAAGAGGAATCGATTCCCCTTCATAGGGTATCGGTTCCCTATGCCCAGAAATTATATTTTAAGCCCGAAAATAATCAATTTTCACTTAATTATTCTATTTTAAACCCCTATCATGTCATTAAACTCAACTACCATTACTTAAACCAACTTATATCCATGAAAATCATCTATAACTTCAAAATCCTATTCTTCATATGAAATTCAAGAATCATACTCAAATTTCAATATGTTCTAAATACAATTCTAACACTTCATATTCCTTAATTAGCATGATGACAAGTAAAATTTAACTTCAAATTCAACTTATCAACTCTATTTCAAGATTTCATATAAAAACTCATTTTCTTAAATCTCTTATAACTTCTTCATCTTTTGATTATAAGACAACTTAAGCTTTCCTTAAGCTTAGTTATCATCTAATGATCAAAACCTAACCTTTAATTTAACAAATAACCAACAAATCAGAAAACCCTTACCTTTGCTATGGCTTTCTCTCGTATGGAAGAAAAAGAGGAGAAGAATATATATTCTTCTTATCCCTTTCCCCGTATATATCCTCAACATAACATAAATTAATCATTTAATGGTTAAATGACCATTTTGCCCTTTAATTCTTTGGATAATTACTAAAAACTTTCAGAAATATTTCCGAACAAATCATCGGACTATACAAATATCCCACTTAAATCACCAAACTCTGAAGTTTTATGATTTAGTCACTAACCCGTATTTTGGGATGTTACACTTTCACTTCTATTCTGATAGACTAAATATCTTTCATAAGGAGTACTAAAAGTTTTAATTAAGAAGAAATAAATAAAATTAAATGGTTTTGGTTCAAAACTAACGCTAAATATCCAGATCCTTGACAAGCGCATAAAAATTTCAACAAAAAACACACAATGCGAGCTGAAAATGAGAAAGTGCAAAAGAAGAAAAGCTTACTTTGGATAGCCCAAAAGAGAAAATAAATACCTTCTTGCAAGTGATGGGAGAGTCTAAGAAATAAACGCAATCGGTCTTGCGTTCCAGCAATTCTTCCTCAAAATTTTCTTTGTAAATAAAAAGCTGAAAGACAGAGCACTGCTTGGGTTTACAATTTTACATGGCGGAAAACTGAAGAACAAAAACCAAACGAGAGTGCATGTGAGCGAAAGAGACTGAGAGGCGAAGGCGTTGTTTGGGATTTCATTATATTTGATCTTCTGTTGGAAAATCTTTAACCAAAAAGATTAAACGAAGAAATTATTATATGTCATTTATACAAAATAAGTCCAACATTGTTGGCGACTTTCAACAATGATAATTAGTTCATCTTAGTAGTATTTGTCAACTCTGCATTTCTAACCCTATTTTTTTCTCACATGCATTTCATCGAACATCTATGTTTCACTAAGATGACTTGTATATAACATTACACCTTGAATCGTTGATGGTCTCGATAGTCCCTTGAGCGGGTCTTCTCTCAATGAACCCTTATTCAAGTCAACACCTCCACATAATTCAAAGTTAGATTAGAATTTCCCATGCATCCCCGACTGAAAAGTTACGCTGGAAATGAGAAGAGAGAAGCAAAAAAGGAAATTCGAGATCCAAAAGGAATTTGGGGTTTATAATGAAATTGAGGATTGTGTTGAAAGTTTTAAAAGTTGGGTGACCTAAATACAAGTGCCTAAAAAGTTTAGTGACCATATTGTAAACGATGTCAAACGACCGGTTACGTTAGGGACCATATTACAAACGGACTAAATGTTGGAGGATTGTATTGCAAGTTTTAAAAGTTGGGGGACCTAAATGCAAGCTTTAGAAAAGTTCAGTGACCATTACTATATTCTACCCTTAATTGTATTAATAAAAACGACATAAGAAATTAGAATTACAATATACCTAAACATAGAGAGAACATCTAATATAATAGTCACTAAAAACATAAAAATATTAAACCCAAAGATGTGAAGAAAAACAAAGCATTCCCTTGAAAATGACGTCGAACATAAAAAAATCCAATAACCTTCATAAAAACTCATGGTCTTTATTGAACAAGACATTTTACGAAGTAATGAAGGAGTGGTGAGAAAACCAAACTATTTGGCAGGCAGTTTTACTACACAATTTTGATTCCATCGATAAATAACCTTTTACCAAAGATGAGATCTAACTATACGTGACAATCGACAAACCAATCAGAAAACAACTATTATGAAGGTTTTTGTGCGAACACCAGCACGACCGTAAAAATATACGAAAAATTACCAAAAACAATAAGAAATGTGCCACAATGACATATATTCTTATTCAAAATTGGGGAAAATTCAAGCAAAAAAGGAAAACAAAGAATATAATATGAAAAAAAACAAAAATAATAATCACTTGTGGTCGACAACCAACATAAAAATCAGTGTCGTCACTAATTAAATAAAAATAAAAATAAAAGAATAAGAAGATACAAAAATAAAAAATATTGAAAAAATATAGGTTAGGGATGAAAAGAGAAATTCTGAAAGTAATTTTCTCTCTCTCATAAAATTAGTATTTAATATATATAAATATGTGTGTGTGAGAGAGAGATAGCTCAATATATTATTTCCGATCTATAATTAATTAATTTTACTTATTTTTCCTTTAACTTTTTTAGAGGTTACAGAACTCCTTTTATATTAAAATATAATTTACCACCGACCTATTGGTTTAGTGGTATGATACACTAAATTTCTTTAGTAAGATTAGGGGTTCGAATCATGATGCTTGCGAATGAAGCAAATTAGGGTGAGAGTCGCCTTCGCCTTTGCAATATCCGATCCATATTAGTTGATTAATAGATAAGATATCAATGGTTATAAAAAAATATAATTTTACTTTTTACTTCTCAATCAATATTCAATATTTTCTTGATTAATTTGGAGTAAGTACAAGGTAATACATCTCTTCAAAAATAATGCTCAACCATTCAACATTGAACACTCATATTCCTGGCATACACGATACTCAAACCTAAAACTTCAAAAATTAATAATAATTTTTTTACCACCGATGTCGCTTTATTCATGGATCAAGATTCAATATTAATACCTCATCACTCTTTGTAACGTGCATGAAATTGAATTTTTACATATAATCGATTTAAACACTTTTTAATCAATATTGGAAATGGTTATAATTTTATAATTTAAGATTTATGTTTTTAATAGTTTATAAGGATTATAATGCAATATTACCTATTTATAATATTTCTTAGTCTATTGTTAACACATACCTTTTATACGCAATTACTTGAACTCGGATCTTATAGGAAGAACAACATTTCCTTTTACCCAACTATTACTTTTTAAAGTCATACAAAATGTAATGTTTTGGTTATATTTTGGTCATCAATCGTTAAAAAATCAAATAGTGATGATGACGTATTTTTTTAATTATTTTCAATGATAGTTTGACATTACCTTAAGGTAATATACTAATATGTTAGTATTATTGTTAAATTTTAACAGTATTTGATCAAAACAAAACAAAAACGTAGTGTTTTGAAAAAAAATAATTGGATGAAGAAAATAAACTTTAAGTAATATGTAGGTGACCAAAAAGAGAATATACCCTAAAAATATTCGTCATTACTAAGTTCTTCAATTTTTTTTTATCTAACTCGTCAAATTTTATCTAGTTGAGATTTTATTTTCACTTTCAAATATATATTATTTAAATCAAAGTGTTTGAAATTTACTTTTTTTTCCAAAAAATGGAAGACATGTTTTCCGTAATTTTTCTCTTTTTTCTCTCTCTCTCTCTCTTTGTTTTTGTAAAAAATTGAGAGAAAAAATAAAGAGTTTGAAAAAATGAAATATATAACAACATGAACAAATGTCAAGAATTTTTTTTATAAACTTATTAGAAAAACATGAGAATAAAACGTTAAATATTTATTTTATTAAAAATTAAATACTTAAAAAAATAAAATAATATTTTATAAAAAAAACCTTTCAAAAGCTATAAAAATTTATCGCATTGACCGATTATAGATAATTGTGTTTAAATACCATTATGACCAATTTTTTTATCGTTATTTCACATATTTTTTACTATATTTTTACAAGGTGACATTCTATTTCATCCTATTGATTAAACAAATTGGCAAAAAGATTATAATAAATAATTGACGTAACTCTCGGAGATTCCAACAACAATAAAACCCAGAAAAAATATAAAATTTATACGAACATGGGAATAGATTCAGGTCTAGGAAAAACCCCGTGATTCAGTTTCACGTCATTAAAATACGAAGTTGGGAAGTACAAAATTTAAGATTTGAGGAAGCTTCAAAGAAAGTGGAGTGGCATTTTTTATTTTATTAATTTAACTGGGGAGTGAAATGATTTTATTCTGTTTGGTTAACATCGGAAACTGTAAAAACAGTGAAAGAGACAAAAGGCTAAAGTAAAAAAATGCACAAAAGTTGTATAAGGAACCAAACAAAAGAAAGAAAAGCGTTGGCCCTTTTTGGCTTTTTGTTTTTTCTCCTCCTCGAGAGTGATTCACACACAAGCGACTTGGTTGGTCTTTCTTTCAATCTCAAATTTTGCAACTTTATCAATAATATAATAATGTCTTAGATAATTGGTTGCCCTGGGGTTGTTGAGCCTGTGCCTAATTCAACCATGCACCTCTCAACTTTTGCTAATATCTTTGAAAGAATCAAACTTTTGGTGTTTTTTTGTTCCCAATTTTGAAGACTTTAATTTTTGTGGGTTTTGATTGTTTAGTGGGAGGAAAGAAGAGTTTCAGAAGATGGGTTCTTATGGAATGCTTGCCAGGAGGGTTGTGGAGACTGACATGCCAGTCATGGTTCAGGTATTCATTCAATTCTGAAATCTGGGGTTTTTTTCCTTTTCCCCCAATAAATCTGAAACTGCTTCAATCCGTTTACTTTTAATGGTATACTCGTTGTGTGTTGCGTGAAATGTTTTGGAAGAGTTTTTGCTGGTATTTTTGATGATGTTGAGGGTCGTTGGTTGTTGCAGATACAGCAATTAATTCGAGGAGCCAAAAATGCTGTGTCACTTGCTCAGGTTTACCATTTTCCCCTTTTACCAATGTATTTTGCGTTTCATTGATAGAATCTTCTTGTTATCAATGTTAGTGCATCCAACATGTTCTGTTGTCTTGGTTTTGAGGATGGAGGTGGTATTGAGAAACGAAAATGAGTTTGCCTTTTTTTTTTTGGAAAAAATGTAAAGTCAAACATTGAGGTGCTAAATTGTTTTGTATCAAAAGAATAAAGCTTTATGGAGTATTTCAATCTAAAGATTGGGAGGGATAAAGCCATAAAGGTCTTATTTGACTAATATTTAAATTAAAAAAGACCTAAAATGACATTATACCGAAAAATTTGAGAGGGGCAGCAGCCCCTCCGACCCCTTAATAGGTTCGTCCCTGGTAGGCGTAGTTAAAAACAATGGACAAGAATTGGAAAATGAGAACAGTTTCTTTAACCTTGAGGTATATGATTTGTTTGGCTTTCAGGTTTTAGTAAAATGGTTCCTTTGTTCTTTCTTTATCTCCTCCTTGTTAATAATTTCAGTCTTTTAAAATTTTGGTACATGAAGACTTTACATATCGGGGAAGTATGTATTTTTCTGTCTTGGTACAAAATCTTGTTTCTCAACCACCCAAGACCAAAGTTCATGCTTTTCACTTTGGTTTTTGCTGTAAGGACGTGAAACAGCCGATGTTATATACAGGTTCTTCGTTTCACTTAAAGTAACCTCATCAAACATCTGTGTCTGACACATATTCAGACATGGTATACGGTTATAGTCTTCCAAATATATGAAAAATCTTCCAAAAAATTGAGCATACCTGTATTGGACACATACCTACATCCGATATTCACTCGGCTCTGGGTTTATTCACATCTCGATTTATTCATTCAGATAATTTTGTCATAGCTTTGATTAGATTTGCATTTTTTATTATATTGGCTTGCCCATGGTTGCATTTGCCTGAGTTTGATTAGTTTCTGGAAAGTCTGTTCTGCTAATTTTCTAACTTTTCTCGTTGAAATAATTATAGGGAGTAGTGTACTGGAAACCACCCAAACAGGCATTGGATAAGGTCAAAGAACTTGTGGAGGAGCCTTCAGTTAGTTGTTACGGTGCTGATGAAGGTCTTCCTGAACTTAGAGAAGCATTGACAAGAAAGGTATAGTTTCTAAAGAGTTTGTCATAAAATAGTGGTTCTCTTCGTTGTTATCTAACAAAGTGTAGAATTTCAAGACACTCTAGAATGTGGTTTCCACTATTATATTTACCATACCAATATACATTCATGGCAGTGTGTTGTCATGTACGGTTGTGCACTAGGTTGATGCTTGGGCCTCTTTCTGGACGTTGGAAAAGATTATAGGGCCATAATTTTGTTTGTCTGGGGTTGATTCATGGCTGAACCAAGCTTCCTATTGGCCTTGTCTTGTTGGATGGGTGTTCAGTCTTGATTGACTCACCCAAGTCTCTGTCCATTTTTTTGACCGGTTATTCCTCTCGAGACTATCAAGCATTGGTCCAATTGTTTAAATTGGCTAAAATTGTCCTTGTTAGTTGTTACTTTCATCGATGGCTCTGTTTTGCATAAGTTTTCTGTTGACTGCCCTCACATTGCATTGAAATATTAGTCTAGGTTCATAGAAATGTTGATACATTCATTGCCATCTCATACACCAATTTCATATTGTTAATAACCAATGTTATTGATGTGATGTTGAAATTTATACTGACACCCCATGTTCATTTTTACCAGAAAGCAGTAAAACTATGCTGTAAAACGTTCCCCTTTATTTTTATGCAGTTGTGTCAAGAAAATAATTTGCACAAGTCTTCAGTGATGGTCACAGCAGGAGCAAATCAGGTAACCTGTAGCACCTTCTAGATTTTTTGTTGTTTGTTCTGTTGAAGGTATATATAGACAACTTGCAACTAAGTTGGTGACAAGTACAATGTGTCACTTTATCTTTAGATTATTTGTAGAAGAGGCTAGATGCTTAATTCTGCATATATACCCCTTCCCATCAGTTTCTTTTTCATATAATTTCATTCTACTGTTGGTTTAAACATTAAACCTATGTTTCCTTTTGTTGGTCAAATGTAGAATTATCTCTCAGGACTCCTTAAAACTACCTTTTGATTGTCTTTGTAACAGGCATTTGTGAATCTGGTTCTTACATTGTGCGATGCGGGGGATTCAGTTGTCATGTTTGCTCCATACTATTTCAATGCCTATATGTCCTTCCAGATGACAGGCATCACTAAGATATTAGTGGGTCCTGGTAATCCAAAGACTCTTTATCCAGATGCAGGTGCGGGTCATGATAAGCTATTCATTAAATAGCCCTTTAATTTTTTTATTGAAGCAGCTGCATTGATTTTAGGGGTAGAGTAAGTTCTCTAATGATGTTCACCAAGATTATTGGTGAAAAAAGACATTTTGATCTGTTCACTTGCAGCTCAGAACTTGCTTTTTTTTTTTCTGGTTTGATTTGTTTGAGAAACGAAGATACAAGTTAGAGCCTATGTTCCATAGGCTTGCTGTTGTTCTTGTTCTGTCTATTGTATCAATTTGTGTTTACAAATTTGGTTGATTTAACTTGAAGAGCTTCTGTGGCCATTACAATTATGTAATATAAGGGCAAAAGATTTACATTCATAGCAAAGCACGTGATGTATTATAATTTGGACTGGGAATATCACGTTTGTTGTTCTAAATGATTTAACAGTGTTGTCTTGATTTTCAGACTGGTTAGAAAAGACATTGCTGGAAACTAAGCCTGTTCCAAAGCTTGTTACTGTTGTTAATCCTGGCAACCCATCTGGTACTTACATTCCCGAGCCGCTACTTAAGGTTTCTCTCTCTCTCTCCTGTGTTTTTGTCTCTGTGTGTATTTGCCAGTGTCGTTGGATGTGTGAACTGCATACACATCAGGATATATTAGTCTAAGATTGTAGTTGTATAGTGTCGTTGGATGTGTATTGCTTTCTGGAAAAACTGGTTCAATTTCTTGTTTTATTTTAAAATTCTTACCATTTTCTTCTTTTTCTCTTAATAGAGGATCTCAGACATATGCAAAAATGCTGGTTGCTGGCTTCTTGTAGATAATACATACGAGTAAGTCTCTTCTGTTTCTGTTATAGGTGCATTCCATGTGATAGATTTTTGGTATATTTAACGAAAGCCATGCATCCCGATGTAGTTGTTGAATTCCAATAATTGAAGTACAGAATACTTTGAGGCTCTAAGATTTAGTTTTTTCATGATAAGGGTAAGGAATTGTTCACATACAGTCTAGGCTAAGCCAACCTACTTTAAATAAAACTCTGTTTTCTACAGCAAGGATTGTCTCTTTAAGCAGCAATAATTGTTCACATACCTTTCCTATTTCTCCTTTTTCCTGGGTTATGATTTGAACTTTAATTTGTTAAGATAAATGTATAGATGGTGTGGGATCAATTGACAACGAGAGGATGAGAAATTGATAACCGAGTTCTTGTGGTGTTGTTGATGGTTTTCCATGGATGCAGGATAGAGTTGCAGTGTAATAATTCTTTATTTTCTTTGCATTTGGATTAGCAAGGCTTTAGGTTATTTAACCGAGTGTGCGGTGTGGAAACTCTTGATTCTATATTTTCTATGACAACCCATATGCAGGTATTTTATGTATGATGGCCTGAAACACTCCTGCCTGGAAGGAGATCACATAGTCAACATCTTTTCTTTCTCAAAAGCCTATGGGATGATGGGATGGCGAGTTGGATACGTAAGTAACAAATGTGTTATCTGAATCGTGGACTATATTTGCCAAAATTGTCTTGTCTTGTATCCAATATATTCTTCGTAATTTAGCATGAAATATTTGTATCTGTCTAATCTTGTTTTCTGCAATTAATATGTCTGAATGCATGCAGATTGCATACCCTACAGAAGTGGAAGGCCTTGCGACTCAACTCCTCAAGGTCCAAGACAACATACCGATCTGTGCTTCATTAATTTCACAGCGACTAGCCCTTCACTCGTTAGAGGTGGGACCTGAATGGGTTCACGAACGAGTCAAAGATCTTGTGAAGAATCGAGAAATAGTTATAGAAGCACTCTCACCACTGGGTGAAGGTGCCGTTCAGGGTGGAGAAGGTGCCATCTACTTGTGGGCAACTCTACCGGAAGAATACGCTGATGATTTCAAGGTTGTTCACTGGCTTGCTCACAGGCATGGGGTGGTTGTGATCCCAGGGAGTTCATGTGGGTCCCCAGGGCATTTGAGGGTTTCCTTTGGTGGGCTGATGGAAAATGACTGTCGAGCAGCTGCTGACAGGCTGAAGAGAGGATTGGAAGAATTGGTAAAACATGGATTGGTGCAGTAAGAAATGTAACTTTACATTGAATTGAAATACAGAATTGAGCCATTCACCAGTTTACAGTTGTAGAACTTGTTTCTTTTGAATAATTGAAGGGGACCTGCAAAGTTGCTCAGATGCATGAATAAATTGCACACATTGATGTTTAATACATGCAAATACTGTACAGATTTTGAAGTTTAGGTTATTATTTGTCTTGATTGTGAATAAATCAACGGATAATCGGAACCGCAATATCTCATTACTCTATTTTCTTTTTAACTCCTTTGTCTTCTATTTCGCTACCGCGACTGTATCTGTAATATCCACTTCTTCACATGTAACATTGAATCCATTCACAGATTATGAATAAATCATTTACTCCTGCAAATTTATGTTTATGAATTTTTATCTTTTCTTTTCAAAAAAATATTCGCAAACATCAATTCTTTGTCAGATATATATATATATGTGTATCCTGTATTCAATTTTATGGATAAAAATTGCTTTAGATTAATATATTTTCATATGTAATTTTAAGAATGGTAGTTGTACAAGTTCCAACTGAAGGAACCGATTTATTTTTGACAGACTGAGCTTGTTTGTGTTGATGTCGACTTCATTTTGAGCCATCAAGAGAAAGACTTCATTCGCTTGTCTTCCAAGGCTAGGTTGGTTGTTTTTTCCAACTTTTATCAGCTCAACAATCTTTTGCGAAATGTCCACTTTACCACATAACATTTGTCAGAGTTGCAATCCTTCGCGTAGTGACCATACTTGTAACACTTGTAGCACTTGATGTTGGAATAGTTTGATTGGCCGCCTCTTCCTCGATCGTGTCCTCTTCCACGCCAATTTGGTTGGCTTGACTGCCCCTTCTCCTTTAGTACCCTTCATGACTGTCGCCTTGACCACTGCGACCATATCCACGACCTCCACGGCCACGCCCTCTACCTCGAAAATTTTGAGAATAGAGTACCTTTTCGTCTTTGATTGACGCCTTGGTTTGAAGTGTTTGCTCGAGTGTCTCCTCCTTTTTCTTCTTACGTTGTTCATGTGCCTCGAGAGAACCGACGAGCTCGTTGACTGTGAGCGTCGCAAGATCTTTTGACTCTTCTATCACGCACACAACATTCTCAAAATTGTCGGTTAATGATCTCAAAATCTTCTCCACAACTCGTGCATCGGTTAACGCTTCGCCATTACGAATGAGTTGGTTCACCACGGTTTGTACACGCGTGATGTAGTCGAATACACTTTCCAACTCCATCTTCATGCTTTCCAACTCGCCACGAAGAGTTTGAAGACGCACTTGCTTGACTTGGTCGGCTCCTTTGAACACTTTTCCTAAAATGTCCGCGCTTCTTTTGAAGTAGCTGCACCAGCAATCTTCTCAAAGCCCGACTCGTCAACAACTCATAACATGTATAGTGCTGCCTTATCCTTTGATCGTGCCTCTTTCAACGCCTTGGTTTGAGCCGCTGTATATCCCATGGTAGTTGTTGGTTCTTCGAAACCTTATTCGACCACCTCCCATGCATATTGAGATCCGAGAAGAGCTTTTATTTGAATGCTCCAGTTCTCGTAGTTCGCCTTCGTTAGTCGTGGTAGCGGTATTTGACCCGTCACATTTGTCATTGACTCTAATGCCAATTTGTTAAATAGAAATCAAATTAACCCACAACTATTATACTATTTCCAAGTGATTTTGTATTCTTTGAGTTGTTTCAAATGAAATCAACAAGGTATTTATATAGGTACTACTCCACCAAAAACAAAAAATAAATTCTATTAAAAATTATAAAAAACTATCAACTCCTATATCACCCTTGGCCTTTCACGTACTAAAACTCATGACCTTTTATTTTTCCATTAACTTCTAAATTTAAAGAAAACCACTAAAAACACATTTAAGTTTATTCAACAGTTTGGTGCGGTGATGGGGAATGTGTGACAATGGAACTGGTCAGCTCTGAGAATTTATTCAACTCATCTGGACTTGATTGTTTTAAACCATTTAAGCTGTCTACTTTTCTCTTGATCTTGTTATAAACCCAGTATCGGAGTTTAAATATGTAAATTTTGACTTTCCTATTCCAGGCTACTTCGGAGCCGACTGTCAGGCGTTTAATTTTTATCATTCGGGAATCCACCGCAACACCCGCTCCCGACGCCAGTATCATCTAACAGCCCGGCTTCATATATATAGCTGTAACTATTTTAAGCTTCAAGTATTTGTTGTGACAGACGCAAAAATTTATGTTAGAGTGTGAAGAAGTTATATTAAAAGTTAAGGGGTTATAAAATTTTAAGGGTATAAAATTAGATAATCAATATAAAATATAAAAGAAAATTAAAATATAAAGAAATTTGAAAATTTAGAGGGTGTCGGCACCTCTCGATCCATCCTGTGTATTTAGTATACTATATGTTAACTAATGTTGCATTCATCAAAGAAAGGTATGTTGAAAAGGAAGAAGTACATAGATCTCCTCATAGGAAAGGAATAAATATAATCAATCTTTAAAAATAAACATTTTATTCCCCATGTGCTCATAACAAGGCAATACATCCATTGTCTTTTAAAAGAAAAAGGTACAAAATTTTCAAATACAACCTTATTCATTGACACCTCAATAGGAAAAACTAGACCATATCGTGCAGGGAAGGAACAACTGATTAATTATGAACTGGAAACTATAAGAAGAATAACATACTCTTCCTCGATAGATTACAAAATTAACCCCATGACAATGACCAACATGGACACCAACAAACTGGCAAGAACTACACCCGATGAAGATGAAGAATTAGTAACACCACTGGAACCAGGAACCGATGTCGGGGGCGTCAAGCCAGCTGTTGGACCAGATGTCGGAGTCGGTGTGCAATCAGCTGGTGTGCCTGAAGTAGGAGAAGGGGTTGTTGGGGTAGTAGGTGAAGGTGCTGGCAGAGGAGAGCCAGAATCGGCCAAAACGTAATGGCTAATCTTTGGCCGACTTCACAGTGCCGCCCAAGTGTGCAAATGTAATATTGTTCGCCGGTGGAGTTGAGGGTTACGTTGGCCGGACCATTCGTGAGCATGTTTCCAATAGGGTTGTAGTCGCTGCACTCGTCGAAGGATGCCCTGGGGACTCGTAGCACAGCATGCTAGTTTGTTGTGAAGTTGAACACTAGAGATGTAAGCAGCATTTATCAAGTGAAAGAAATGACGAGTTCAATTCATTTTTTTTAGTAAAAATTACTTAAAAAGAAAGAAAAATTAATAAGACAAGAGCTTTGTTGATTACCCAAGATATCTCCAACTAAAAACCTCTTATTAGCCGCCCAATTGCTATATGCAGTGGCACCATTCGGTGGGATGGTCCATCCCATGTCATCCCCCACAACATGCACCGTTTGCGCCGTCGTGAAATGCACAAAAGCCACCGCAATGAAGATTACGGAGAAAAACATGCACATGATGAAACTGGCCATTAAATCTCTATCAATGTATTGTTCAATTGAACTACATATGACAGTAAATGTGATGATGGGAATTATGAAACATTTGAAAGCCCACGTACATATATATACAGATATATAAGCAGTGTTCATAGATACGGAGTCGACAAAGAAGAAAGAAAACGGGTGTTGTGGGGCAACAATGCTGAGAAAAAGCATAAACGCCGGTCTTGTTAGTACATATTTGAGGGGTCCCTGCTAAACCCAACGTACATAATTTCAACTTTAGATTAGGCTGCTCATATTTATTATTCGGTATGAATAATTCTAGAGGGATACGTAATCTGAGCAGGAGGTTTCTAAGCTTAATGTCAAACAAGTACAGAAGATACGGCATTTCCGAACACCAGGAATGATGAAATGATTCCCTCAAAGTCATATCCAACATATAGCACATATATCTATTTCAAATAGCTGATTATGTCCAATTTGAAACTTGAGCAACTAAACAAAAGTTAAAGAGTTCCAGGTGCCTACAATCTAAGTTTTAGATAAACAAATGCTGCGATGTTCGAGAACTACTTCTTACAGAGATGCTTTCCCTACATTCAATCAGATCTAGCACCAACAAAATTAATGTTACATTCATCTACAGAATCGTTGCTGTTACACAGGAAAACAGATAAAAAGTAGTACAGACAGGCTAGGTTGGATACTGGATGGTACATTTACCAGCTTACAGGAGCAGGCACGGGAGATTGTTGAACATCAGTTTGGCTACTTGGTTTAACGATACCATTTTCAAATCACCTCGTCAACTACTGCCTCCTCTTTCTCTTATACCTCTATGTTACACTTGCAGCAACTCCTCTGCAACTTGCTTCTCCTTGGGCTCTCCCTCAGTTACAGGGATTGCTCCATTAGCTTCCAATGTCACAGGTGCTGGCTTTTCTGATTGTTTCATACACGGCCCATTCTCTTTCTCTTCCTGATTCTGTGGTACTTCCTCAATAGGGGCTTCCCCCTTTTCTTTTTCAGTTTGAGTTCCATCAGTGCAACTAGCTTCAGCAGATTTCTGTTGAACTTCCATTGGAGTTGGGGCTTCTTCGGCACCAGCAGCCTCTTCTTTTTTGTCATCCTCTGTGGTTTCCGGTATTTTAACATCTTTATCAACTTCTTGCTCAGCTTCATTCATCTTGACATCAGTACGACCAGTCTGGTCAGTCCCTTCTGTTTTACCTTCATTGTCAACCTGCTGTTCGGTGGAAGTACCTTTTCCTTTTTCACTTACCATGGTTTTCGTCTCAACGATTTGCACATCTTCCTTTTCACTTTCTTTCTCACCCTCAGGTTTTTCAGGAACGGCCTCTGTTTCCTCGTGTTCCTTCTTTGCAGTCGATGATTTTCGGCCACGCTTCTTTGGGGGTTCCTTCTCTGGTGTTGGAGTAGCCTTGGCCTTTTCACTGATCCTTGATGATCTTCTAGGGGTCTCACCAGTACCCCAATCAAACTCTGATAATGGAGGATTCCCAGGGTGTGATTTGAGATACTTCTCCAACTGTTTCCTGTTATTAATCTCCTCCCCAGTTGGTGCAATGAACATGATCTCGGTCTTCCTTGGTGAACCAACTTTCTTGGGGAAAAACTGTAAAATTCAACACAAAAGAGACATATTACACACGAAACATAACAACCAACAAATCGAATAAGATAATAAGCATGTGTTGTTTCCAAAATGCTGCTTTCTTTCCTAAAATTCTCAGAACTTCCCAGTAAGTCATTATTGCCTTCATTACACACAATCTGACTTGCCATGGCATGGCAGAAGCCATTCTAATAAAACATCTAAAGTCTCGTTTTGTTGCCAAATCAACAAACAGAACCCTCGATAGAAAAAGTTTGATGAAGTCCTTCCAATTCGCAGCAATAAAATACCGAACCAGGTAAGACAGCGAAAGAGAATTGTGAATCTTACTAGCTGCAAAACTAGATTCAGAAGCAGCTACAGCAGGGAGCAAGGTCTCCCTAGTTCCCTTTCCTTTTTCCTCTATTTTTTGAGTAGCATCCAAACTCCAATTGCAACAAGCACAAAATATACAATTAAATGCATGTATGGATATACTCTTTAGAAGTACAAATGCAAAACATTTTGCATATGCGACCCTCGGAAGAAAAACGGTTTCTCCTCCCGGCCAGCAGAAGTTAATGCTAACTGGTCCGGTGACTGAAATGAGCAAGATTGAGCTTCTAATCGGTATGTTGCCATTTATTATAAATGATCAACTTCACTTAACCTATCTACGGTTGAAAAGATTCAAACTTCAGCAGAAACCCTAAATTTAACTAGTAGCACCAACAGAAATGTCAACCTTCAAAAGTAACCCTAATGTTATAAATTCTCACTATAAACGAACAAAAGTTAGAGTAAAATACCTATAAAACACAAAATAAACAGTAAATTCCCCAAATTAACACTAAAAATAACCCAAATTTCATAAATCAAAAGGATTCGAGATACTGATGGAAGAAACAAAATCCAAGAAGAAGAAAAAGCAAGCAAAAACATAAATATAAACCAAATTAATTAAAACTTATGCTTTGAAAAAAAAGGTACCATTTTCTTCCAAGAAGCAGGCGCTGGAAGCTCAACAGAAATAACTTCCTCCTTACTCTCCATTCTCTGATGTGTTTTGTGGTAAGAAGAGAGTCATCAAAGGTCAAAACCGTTGAGCATTCGAGATTATGGTAGTTTTTTTTCCCCTCACATCCAACTACGAAGCGATAACGTTACGGACCGTCTAATGTAGATTTGAAATAAAAGCCAATGAAACTTTGCCACTTGGCCTTTGGAAAAAAAACGAGCCAAAGGCTTAATACTATGTTTTGACTCTAGACTTTTAATTTCTTCTCCTAATCAACCCTGAACCTTTTTTATCCATGTTGACCTTGAACTCATATTTTGTTAAACATGTTGATCCGGTAATATTTTCTTTCAACAATATGTTTAAAAAAAAGTCATATAGAATGTATGGAAAATTATTTTCTTTAATTAGGGAGTTTGTTATTATATTCATTGGAAGTTATCTGGAGCACACATCAACTTTTAGAGGTTGTCTGCAGCGCAAGGTGTCTTTTTCAAGCTTTATACATACACGTTAGCATGGATAACTAGTGACGCTCTTTGTCGGATAGTCTAAACGTCTTTAAGAGGTCAGTGTATGGTCCAAGCAAATTCCAACGAACATTATGAAAAACATCTAATTGAAAAATTAATTTCTTTTACACCCTACATTACTAACTTTTTTTCAACACATTATTGAAACAAATTAGTTTATTGATCCTTTTTGTATCAGTGTCAAGTGAATAGTATTACGACATTACAAATTAAATTAATCGATGCCTAAAATTTTATATACATATTTAAATAAAATATTTATGAAATTTCAAATTTGATTAAGAAAACCCTTCAATTCCCTCCTTCATTACCATTACACAAAACTTCTTCAATCTTCATCATTCGATCTATTTTTTTCCTTCGATTTAACCAAATATTTCTTTTTAAGAATATTTTGTGGGATTGATCATGTCAATAAATCATTATGCATGTATATTTATAATTTTTATTGAATATGTTTATTCTATCAAAAGAAATATAATTTCCTCTCTTTTACAATTGTTTTCATGATTTATCGGTTGAATTAATTTTTTGAAATTTGTATTCTTAAAATAAGAAAAATATACCCAATTAATATATGTTTATATTTATGCATTATTAATCACTCGCTTGATATTGTTATAAATATATACGATGATGAAATATAAGTCACAAGCTAAATGTATAATTAAACTGTAAATGCAAAAGTTTATTTAGCTATGGGGATTTCAAACGTACTTATAATATTTTTAACATATTTTTTTAATAAAAGAAAGAGAAATAAATTATTGGAATCAAATTTAAACCATGATGTTAATCAAACAAATTCTTTTAATTTTTTACTAATTTTATCTACAAAATGATTTAATTAAAAATATTAAAAAATCATATCAAATGGTAATGTATTTTTTGTCTTGTATCTTTATTATAATTTAAATATATTTTTTAAAATTTGTTTTATTTTAAAAGTATATTCTTTAATATGAGATTAAAAGATAAAAAAAAATATCCGTTAATAAAATTAAATCAAATTTCAAAATAAATAAAAATCCATATTACGATGATTTAGGACTAGTTAATTATACTCTTCTTTAATTCTTATATTCTCTCTTATTATTCAACCAAATGATATCATGTTGTCGTCATCGTTTTTCGGTCATGACATCGAAAAATATATGTTCGACACGACTTTCGAGGAACATCATTTTTTTTATAATCAAATTAATTCAGAAAAGATTAGAGTCGTCATCGACATTTTGGTTAGATAGACCGAATAATCAGAAAACATCTTTTAAACGAATTTTAGAAAAATTGTTTAAAGACGAAAATTGGTCAGCATTTAACCAGAGAATCATTGTTAAGGATTCGAGATTCGATTACACGTGGGGAAGGGAAAGCACCACCACAACGCCCAATATTGGTACCTTTCGATTATACGTTGTTGGAAATGATGAAATTTTACAAATTTGAACTCGAAATTTAAATTACGATCATTTTCATTTCTATGATTTTTTTTAGACTGAGTGAATTCATTTTTAAAATATTTGACTTGATGAAAGATTTGATTCACTCGATTTTATTTAAAAATGATGTCCTCTTGCTATGTGAATTAACAGAAATTAAAATTCAGTTATGTTGGACGTAATTTCGTTAACTCTTGACGCAAGACAATATTGCCTTGGAATCTCATGGGAAACGAGAAAAGACAAATGCAAAGTTTATGAATATAACGATAGCAAATGACAAGTGTAAAATGGATGAAATATTCACATATATAACAAATGAATAAATAAACAACTAGAAAAAACACATAATAAACATTTATTTATTAAAATAATTTCATTCGAATAATCCTCGGAAGGGCACCCAGGTGTTTGGAGGTCTTCCATAGATTAGTCGAATAATTATCGATGAATTTTATAATACTAATGTTATTACTTTAACACACATATCGTATTAATATTAAAAAGTATGAATATTAAATTAGATAAGTTAAAGGACCTGATTGCAATTATTTTAAGTCATGTAAGATTTAGGGACTAATTAATAAGAAATAAAAATATGAGGGGCTAAATTTGTAATAAATCGTGACTAAATCAAGTAAAAAAAGGTTCTAGGGACTATATTACAATAAATAAAAATGTAAGGAGGAGCTAAAAAATTAAGCAAATTTAATAATAAAAATCCATGCAAGGAATAAAAAAATTCGGGTAAAAATTCAAGGATTAATTCGAAATAAAGGCAAAACAAAGTCAAATGACTAAAATGGAAGAATATAAAGTACATAACCATATATGCAAACACACGAAAATTGGATGACCCGCGCTATGATTTTCCCAATAAGCCCAAAACGCACCATTTGGTGCCAAAACAACTTCGTTTTATAGAGTTTGGGTAGACGCCAAACGACGTCGTTTCAAGACGGATATAAATACCCCTAATCATTTATTTTGTAACATCCTCAGACCGATGTGAGTGACCCGATCCAATCCAAGGTGTCACATTAGGGCCACAGGAGCGACCCACAATAAAAATCCAGAAAAATTAAAATTTCTATTAAAACAAGTAAAATCATAAAACAATTTATAATTAAAATACAAGTTCAGAAAATAAAGTAGAATAGTTGAATAGTTAAATGATTTATTTAGGGATATTTCCTGAAAGTTGTTAGTAATTATCCAAAGAATTAAATGGCAAAATGGTCATTTGATAAGAAAAATATTTTTCCCCTTATATGAATGAATCATGTGGGGAGAAGAATTATCTTCTTTTTCTTCATTTCTTCTTCTCCACCGTGAACAAAGGAGCTCCAAAGGTGAGTTTAATTTTTTTGTTTAATTCTTGGATTTTTAAGTGGATTTTGATTCTTTGGGTGTTATATAAGCTTAAGGAAAGCTTATATAGGATTTAAACAATAAGATGAGTGAACTAGGACGGGATTTGTAAAATGGGTTTTAAGATGTATTTTTGATATGGTGTGGTTTTTAGAGTTTTGATGAGTTTTTTGACTTGTCATCAACTTAATTAAGAAGTATTAAGTGTTAGAATTGGATTTGAAGAAAATTGGGTATGATTTTTGAAATTCATAAAGAGGAGAAGATTTTTGAGGTTTAAGATGTGATAAATGAGTAGAAATTAGTTTAAGTTTGTATATTTGAGTTAAGAATATGAAAAGAAATGAAACATGAAGAATTGAAGTGGAAATATTGAATTTTCGTGCATGAACAGTGATTTTCTGGGTAAAAATTCCAGATTATGCAAGGAGGTACAGATACCCCTGGGGGTATCGATTCCCCCTAAAGAAAAAAAATGGAATTTTGGTTCATTAAACTAGCTTAAGTTATTAACATCAAGGTTAAGGTTTAGGCTTCTGATAATTGTTTTAAAATTATATTTATGTAGATATTGAGCCTAAACAAGTTCCGGAACAATCGAAGAATTAGGATCGAATCAAAGTAAGGCTAAGGTGAGTGCAATTTAATTTGTACTTATGTTATCGAATCAACATTGGCTTGCAATGAGCCAGTGACGAAGTTACTATAGTAAGAAGTGACTCCTAGAATGTTATTTGATATGTGAATTTTTATGTGCGCATGAGTACATGAAAATAAGTAAAGGTTATTATATATGAAATTATAATATAAGTTGTGTAATAAACCATATGAATGGATATAAATTATTAGGAGAATAAATGAAAAGGTGAGATAAAATAAGTAGTATTTACTTATAAGGTAATAGGAAATTATGTGAACAAATAGTATTGATAGGGCACATAAGACTACATGTCTATCTTTTAATGTAAAAAAAGTGATATATGTGATGTATTGGAAACATATGAGAACAAGAGATAACATGATTTGTATGATGTATGAATTCATGAGTAAAGGCATAAGTGAATATAATTTGTATGCATTATATGTCATGTGAACATAAGAGGATAGAGCATGAATTATATGATATGAGATATATGAGAAAAGGTACATGTGATATGAGAATTGACATGAACTACGTGAAAAGAAACTACATGATTACAAGCATATGTGAACAAAGCTATGACCTTATATGAATATGTGAAATGATAAATAATAATGCTCATGTTATATGATACGAGAGCTATAGGTATAGTTGACATGCCAAGAGTCGAGGGTCGGGACAATACAGTGGTCTTCGGAACAAATTTCATATGCCACTCAGTGGGACTTATATGAGCTGTGGTGACAACATTAGTGCACAACCTCAATGTACTCACATACCTTTAGTTCTCAACAGTGTACATGGGCTACTAAAGAGACTACACAAATATACTGAATGTGGGATGTATATGTGATTTGTTATATGGAATAGATCACAAGATTTATATAATGGTGTATTGCTTGGTTAATGCATGATACTTATGTATAATTTGTTAAATTAAGGTTATGATAATGAATGTGTTTTTGTGATAAGATATATATATATATATATATATATATATATATATATGTGGATATAAGTTATAGAAATGATACGATCGTAATAAATGTTTATACATTTGATATGAATTATATGATGTTAAGTGTATTTCTTTATGAAATGTTTTATGGTTATATTATATGTTTTATATGCCTCACTAACTCATCGAATTAGCATGTGATTGTTTCACATGTAGGTTTGGAAAGTGAAAAGAGAAATAAAGAGGAACAAGCCATGTCAGTTCTCCTTACCGAAGATCAGATCAAAAATATAGTTGAATTACATGTATTTGGTTATATATAATTTAGTTGGCATGTAATATAAAAGATTTGAATCTGATATGCTCTGAATAAGTTTTGTAATGTTTAAACGTATTTTTTTTTGTAAATGGTAAATGTATAGAGATGAACGTTTTAAATTTTAAGAGTTTATATATGTTTTACGGAAGTACTGTAGCAATACTGTAGCAGGATATCAGTTCCTTGTAGCAGGGGAATCAGTTCCCCTTTGACAATCTGGAAAATTTTAGCATTTGGTATTGTAGTTGGACACTGTTCACGGTACTGTTCATACCATATTTTACTGTTCATAAATAAGTTTTTGCCTCAAAAAATGTTTTTATACTGAAACATAATTTAATAGAATATTGTGGTATTTTCTTTAAAAGAGTTCAAATGTCTTGATATTTTGTAAGAATATCGTTTTTAAAAGTTAATGTGACATCTCGGACGCAGTATCCGGGTCGGGTACTGGTTGGGGTGTTACATACTACATATGTCAATAACTACGCATTATCAATTCTTTTAACTTGAAATGGTGAGTAAAAGAGTGAGTTTTGAGAAGCTTAGTAATACAAAACTACCAAGTGATGCTGAAGGACATGCAGATAAATGGAAAAACATAAAATTTTCGTTATTGATTCAGATGTTTACATGATTTCGAGATGAGCTGAGGTTCCACTAATATTTCTTCGAGTAAAAGATATGAAGATTTCAGTTCAGATAACCAAGTTCAGGAGATCAGAATATGATGTCTAGTGTGTTCCAACAAAACAGAGTAATATATATAAATCCTTTAAAAACGTTAGCAGTTTAAAACATATTTTAAAAACCACAGTAATACCCTCCAACCGAACATCTATATGCAGGTTCCCTATAACTATATCTATAAGGACTTACCCTAAGCAAAAGAGCCACCCTAAGGGAGTACCTTGGGGTCTATGGGCAAACCCAAGGGTTTCTTTAGGTTCGTAATGAGTTACCAGCTTGATCAGAGCTGAACCTCCATACTCCAGAATCCTACCCATATAATATCCAGTAGAATGTTGTAAAAATAAAATATAGTTATTTAAATCACATGAATGTCCTCCATCCGTACACCATAATACAATCCCCATACTAAGGGAGTGCATTGGGGCCTTAGAGCCTATCCAAAGAATACCTTAAGTGTGTAAGGAATTGTAACACCCATTTTCTGTATACGTTCCTGTACACAAGTCACAAGTGTCACGTGACTTTTAAAAATATATTCTTATTTATAAACCTGTAAAAAATTCAAAATTTAAAACAAAACATTTTTAACATAAGGTAAAACATTCGTTGTAAACTGTTACAAAGTTATAACTTAAATACATTACAGAGCATTTTTCTTAGATTCATATACATGCCATCTAATTATCAAAAGAATACATGATTGTCCTATAGTTACTGATTAGTGAACATTGGATTGATGTTCTCTGCTTCACTTTTTACTCTGCTAAATCTTTGCTTTTACTTACGCGTGAAATCAACACACGTTAAGTATTTACTTAGTGAGGCATAATAATGTAAATAAATTGAAAATTCATACATAATCATATTATAGCTATTGAAATACGAACTAAATCGTATACTTCATAAAAATCAATTAATCATCTCAATTAAACTCAGGTTTTTTTCATAGTCATCAAAATCATTCTTAGTATGCCCGTCATACTTATTTTTTTGTTTTTTATTCCCAATTATACTCTATTTTGCCCAATATATGTTAAATAAGAATTAAAGGTACATACATTGCACCAAAGTGCCGAAATGGTCATTCACCTTTTATGAATACCATGAGTAGCACATTTCTGCCAATAATGCACCGTTATGCTTTTTCATTTATGACACATTTCTACCAATAATGCACCGTTATGTATTTTCTTTTATGACACATTTCTGCCAATAATGCACCATTATGTATTTTCTTTTATGACACCATTATACTAATAATGCACCGTTATGCATTTTCTTTTATTTCAGTAACATCGATAACCATAACACAACATTAACATTCATCCATTCATTTTAGAGCAATTCATACACTAAAACTTATTCATAATGCTATAAAATATACATTTAACAAAACATTCAAGATTGACTCATCGCGAGTATTCCTCCTTTCATACAAGTAATATAAATTCACTCACCTGATAAGCCTCGCTAATAAGCTGTAATGATGTACGGCTATTCGACAACTTTATCTTGCCCTTTTTCTTACTTAACTCAGGATCTTGGTTATGATCTACACAAGCATCCATTAAAGACACATATCATACCAATGTTAGTATATTCCCTAACATTTATACTTTAATAATACTCAAAAGTACTAATATTTTCAATTTCTATTACAATTTCAGCTTATATCTTATAATTTCAGGCTCAATAGTATCTGTACCCCTACCATGGTATCGATACTTCTATACTATGGTACCGATACTCCCTTTCATTATCGATACTATTTCTGCATTCTGGAATCCATGGTATCGATACCTTTCTCTTAGTATCGATACCCACATCAGTATCAATACTGTTTATCGTAATTCTTCAAATTTAAACCTATAGTATCAGTACTGTTCTTAAAGTACCGATACCCCTACCCAAATTTCCATTTTCAGCTCGATTTTTACCAAATTTTCTTTTAAATCTCTTACTTTTACCTCAAACAATACCCTTAAACTTAACATCACTTAACCCAACTAACTTTCCTCCATTTAGCTTCTTATAACATCTAAATTATCCAAAGAATATCTCAAACTAAGAATCATACTACTTTTTCTAATATGTTTTTAATCACATCCAAGGCTTCTAATCTCTTATTTACTTCTTTGACAAGTTAAATCTATTAATAAACCCCAATAAAAACTCATATTTCAACATACCATTCAAAAACCTATTTTTTCAATCTCAAATAAATCATAAATTTCTTAGTTTTAATCCTCTATAATCCTTCCTTAAGCTTCCACATCACTTAAGGTTTAAAGAACAAACCAAAAATGAAAGGAAAAACTAGCTAGCTGAAGCCTTACCTTTGGATATGGAGGAGAGCACGATCACAGGGGAGGAAGAAGGGTAGATGACTTTGATTAGTTTTCAATTTTCCCCTTTTTCTCTTTCTTAAATCCCTAATAAAATGAATTTTAAATTCATTTCACTCTAAAGGACCAAAATGCCCTTTCATTCTTCCATTCTTACTAATTAGTCTTAATTAAATCATTTCTTATATTTTACCCTTTATTCAATTTAATCCTCCAAAATTTTAAATCCTTTCAAAATAGTCACTAACCTAATATTTGGGGTATTACATGAATTACTAGCTTGATCAGAGCTGAACCTCCATACTGTAGTCTACCCAGGTAGTGTCCCAATAAAATAGTTCAAGTAGTAACCAATAGATTCCATGATCCATAAATTAGGAAATATCATATTTTCCAATAAAAATAGGTAACCATAGAGCACATTTCATGTAGCCATAGTTCGTAAACAGTAATTCAACATACCAGTAAGTCAGAATATCGAATAGTTAAAAGATTCAATAAAAAGTAACTTCGGTAAATCACATTTCAGGACAAATAAAATAATCATATAACACATAGGAACACACTAGAGGATCCAATTATTTTTCAGGGGTACTTGGTATTTATTAGGTAGGGTGTCACAAAATTTCTGCAAATTGATTGAATTTCAGTATGAGATCCTTATGAAAAGGGGTTTGATGGCTAAGCGATTCATCTGTTATTCAAGAAGTGATTTTTCAAGATCATATAGTATTCAAATATTTTTCGGAGGTGCTAAGTAATCAGGACGGTATTCAGAATCTTTTACATCAGAGTTATTTGAGATTTCATATTGAGTAATTTCATTATTCAGGAAATTAGGGGTATTTTGGACATTTAGTTCTTGGAGAATTCTTAGTACTTTAATCTAATAAGGGTAAAATGATTATTCATGGTATTTAAGACTCATGCCAATTTATTAGGATATTCACACTTAAATATTGACATCACTAGTCAAACTAATCAACTTCAGAATCATCGTTGAATGGATCTTAGAGAGACAAACAAGTATTTCAATGGTATTTATTTCATTTCTGTATTGTAATGGTATAAAGAAATGTTGACGTGCTTGATTCGTGGTTCAAAACCCTTATGGACGGTACACCATATAAGTTCATCAGCGTTTTCAGACTTATCCAAGTCATTCGCTTAATTCTAGGTCATTGAGGGTACTTAGGTCAATTAGCATTCAAGTTTATCCCGATCACTTCGGAGTTTCTAGAGTAATTCGATCATTTTAACAATTCGTATACGTACAGTACTTCCATTCAGTTCAACATTATCATCTAATATAGTCATTTGAATATCAGAGGTTATTTTAGTTATTTCGCAGCTCGAGGAAATTTTGGTAATTCTGATCAATCCAAACATAAGTACATTTTCTGGTAATTTGTTCAAGTATGACCTTTCAGGATTTTTTTACTTTTAGGGGCAATCTTGGTCTCTTTGCAGTGCAAGGGCATTTTTGAAATTTTACTCTATAGGGTTATTTTTTTTCATTTTGGTCTTGAAAAATTCTTAATAATTTAACGATAATTTGTCATATTTCGGATTTATATTGAATTAACATAGTTCTGGGTCAAATAAAGTTGAACAGATATTAACACTGTGATACTCACTAATCATTCGGACCGATATCCTTCCAAATATTCACTTATTCTAAGTCGTTTCCACTATTAGGGCAAAACATGTCATATTTGTATCTGAAGGGCATTTTTAACATTTTAGCGGGATCAGTATAGGTTTAGAGTAATTAATATTTATTCCAAGCCCAATCATATTTATTTATGCATTAACCAATACCTAACTTATACCATACAACATGCAATGGGTAGTATAGTTTTACCTCGATTTCTAAGCTCCACTGATTGAACATTTAAACTCCATTCAATCACTCTCGAACTTGAACTCAATGTCCAACAATATCTCAGATACATATCAAGAGAAATTACATCATAAACAAAGATTAATTACGAAAAACGGATCGAATCGAGAGGTTAATCAGTGAAAAATGACTTATCGGGTTCAAATTTGTCAAAACGAACCTAAAAATGGACTCAAACATCAATAAACATCAGTATATACATTCTTGAAAAAGTCAATAGCTGATCAAAGACGGTCAACAACCATTCAATGACCAACAGTTGTGTCAATGGCTCACTCAGATGGCTCAGCTCGGCTCAAACCAGTCCAACCGGTTCATATCAGTTCAGCTGGTCACACTCTCCCCTGGCCGGCAAGCAATGCCTGCACAGGGAGTAGCGCGTGCGGTGCGTGCTACGGCTCCGGTCGTCGGATCGACATGAAATTTTCCAGATCCGTAGATCGACACCTTGGGATTCTCGTGCATGTGTTATTTTTTGATGAAACAAAGCGGAGTGTAGAATTTTAAAATGTTTGAACTTTTCCAACGGTGACCGATGAGTGACAACAGGGGAGCAACGGGGGTACGACGATTTTGGTTAGGCTTTGAGAGCACGACGAGTCCAACCACGCCGGTGTTGGGGAAAACCGCTGAGCGATGTAGCCAGAATTGAAGAAAAACCCACGCGTGACAAGGGGTTTCAGTAAATTTCTTCAGTTTAATTTACGACAATTGGCAGCGCTATTCGATAAGGGGATAAAGGGGTTTTGGTTGCACGTGGCTGGTGCTTCGCCTAATATTGGCGCTGTTAGCTACTGCCAGCTGATGATTGGTGAATGGTGGTGATGGCTTTGGGTAAAACCAATTTGGTTATGCTATGGTGTTTTACCAAGGGGAGTTGATTCTAGGAAAATAGGATTTTATTTAGTTTAAAAGATATTTTATTTATTTCACATCAACTATACCAGCCTAGCCTAAATTGCTAAGGCTTAGATTTGGCTTCCTATGTTAAAAAAACGTGGGTTTAAATCCCACAAACTACTTTTTATTTATTTATTATGCACTGAAAATGGATGGGCAATTTGAAACTTGGGTCCCTAAACTTTCAAAAAAATTCAAAAACTACCATAACATCTTCAAGATCTTATAATCTGATTCCCAAGTTTGATTAATTTAATTTAAAATAAGAGAAAATTGAGGTGTTACAACTTTCTCCTCCTTAAAAGAAAATTCATCCTCGAAAATTTTTCAAGCTAAATAAATGTGGAAATTGAGCTTTAATCAATTCTACAATCTCTTAGGTATTTTTTAAAGTATTATGATTCCTCTACTAAACCTTAACCAGCTGATTATGCATAGATTTCTTCTTTATCAAAATTCCAGAACCTAAACATAATTCTCATCATAGAATCAAACATACCTTAATTACTAATTCTTAATCAGAATAATGCTTGTTTACTTTCATTGCAACAAGTAGACATAACTGTTTTCTTTTATACAAGCAGCATCACCTCGAGGTTTGCACTTTTACACAATATTTGAACATTTTCCTTTAATCTCATACAGGTCAAACTGTTGGGGTACAAGCTCATCAGTTTTTGGGTTTCAAACTCAAAAAATTGAAATAAACATGATTCCTAAAATTCTTCAATTCAGTACATCAGTGTAGAACTTTAAGGGGAGAACACCTTATTATAGCTTGGACCAAAATCATGCCCTTTAATATACTTGGGTAGAAATTCTTAATATCAGAAATTCACTTATAAGGTTTGGCTACAAGCTTATCATCACAGAACGTTTGAGGAGCAACAAAACTCAAATTCATATCATAAGTCAGGTCAAAATTCTCGAATGAATAATCTCTCACGTTACTCACGGGGTAACTTCCAAGATTGGGATGATTGCTGACATTATTCCCTTTTTGCACAGATTGAGTCAATCAGATAAGATACTTTGGTATACTTATTACAGAATAATTTCTTAACATCAGAGTTCCAACTCAGAGTGTACGGTCATAATCTAGGGGCATGTATAGACCAAACATCCTATGACAATCGATTAGCCAATCTACCCAGAAAACTCAACTTTACCTAGGCTTTGATACCACTAAATGTAACACCCTCAGACCGATGCGGGTGACCCGATCCAATATGAGGTGTCACATTAGGGCCACAAGAGCGACCCATAGTAAAAATACATGAAAAATTAAAATTTCTATTAAAACGCATAAAATCATAAAACAATTTTTAATAATATGATCTACATGCCCCCTAATTACACTTGTAATGTACTCTTCAACCCAAGCCAAAGGAATTCCCACTACATATGTCAATAGTTGCGCTGGATCATTCTTTTAATTTGAAATTGTGCGTAAAAGAGTGAGCTTTGGAAAGCTCAGTAATACAAAACTATCAAGTGATGCTCAAGGACATGCAGGCAAATGAAAAAACATAAAAGTTTCCTTATTGATTCAGATGTCTATAGGTTTTCGGGATGAGTTGAGGTTCCATTGATATTTCTTCGAATAAAAGATATGAGATTTCAGTTCAAAGGACCAAGTTTAGGAGATCAGAATAGGATGTCTAGTGTGTTCCAACAAAATAGAGTAATGTATATAGTACTTTAAAAATGTTAGTGGTTTAAAACATATTTTAAAAACCACAATAATACCCTCCAACCGAACACATATATGTATTTTCCCATAACTACATCTATAAAGACTTACCCTAAGCACACAACAAATGTG